GGACATCCCGCTTGGACCAAAAAATACCAGTGCACGTGATATTTCTCGACTTTGCAAAAGCCTTCGACACAGTACCCCACGCACGCCTAATCGCAAAGGTTGTGGAAATGAACTTCACTGACCCACTGGTATCTTGGCTCAGAAAGTGCCTTGAGAATAGAAAGTTTCGTACCAAGATAAGTAGAGTGCACACGAGCTGGCGAGTATCCACATTGGGAGTTTCACAGGGGACCATCTTAGGCCCACTTCTCTTCCTAATATTTATTAACGACCTGCTAGGCTCAGTTAGCTCACCGGCATTGATCTACGCAGACGATATGAAGATCTGGAGGTCCATTAGAAGCGAAGAGGATTCGAATGAGCTTCAAAAGGACCTTATATCTATTCAGAAATGGGCAGTGAAAAACGGTTTGAAACTCAACCAACCACAGTGCCACTTGAAATCCTCTTATTAGTCAGAGAATTTTCTTCTGATTATTCTCCACACTGCAACTAACTGATCTCTGGCCTGGTAATGTGATAGCTTCTGGTATCCAGAAACCCTACTGCCCTGAAACAGGCGTATTCATTCAAATCACAACCAACTGCCAACTGACTAGAATTAGGCATTCGAGTTGCTAGACCCTCATTAATTAGACACTGCCAAACACCTGAGATCATTAGTCTTCATATATCAAAGTGAAATATATGGAAATATGGGTACAATGTAATTTATTTACAGGGACGACAGTTTAACAAGAATCGAGTGAAAAACGTACCTGTATAGGTTCTTTAGCCTCACAATGACTTCAACAAAACATAAGGGTAAACTCGAACTTTAAACGTGCAGAATGAATTTTAATTCATTTACTACATCATATTTAAACACAGTATCTATTATTTAATTGTACAATAAACGTTTTCGTTACTCACCACTGATTCATGTTTAGTAACATTACTATCCGTATTTATAGTGAATCTGGTTATTACTGGTCATGATATCATAAACAGTTATGGTATATCTCCGTGATATTCTTTTTGTAATACTTGACTGAATTACCTATATGTTTTTAACAACCGTTTTAGAGCAGTATATCATTTTTTACACCTATATTATATTATATTATATTTTACTATATGATAACTATATCTATAACCACAGAAGCTCAGTCACAAATAAAATATGATTAATATCTAGAAATATAAATAAGGTGGGTGATTAGTATGTCAAGGTACAACCGTCTATAGATCATCTCAATGTTTTGTCTGTGAGTTGGATATGGTTTAGGGCCCATTGACTAGTGATGTTGCAAAGTTGTAGTGTATAGATGTGTTAGTGAGTTAACTATGGCCAGGCTTCGTAGTCAGTTCTATAAGTGCTAATTTTATGCAGTTTTATCATCACTTAGCCCGTTGTAACTATTGGTCGATGTATTACGGACTCCTTGAAAATCATTATTCAGTGAGTAACTACTCTCTACTCTCCTACATTGTACTGTGTGACATCAACAGCAGAAGAGGCAATAATGATAATTAAAATAAGACTCACTATTTCGCTCACAAATTTAAGCCATTCTTATCCTGTAAGATCAGTAGTAAAATGCAATTTGAATCATCGAAGAAGAATTTATGTCAGGAAGTTTTATGCCAATGAACAGATAGTAAAGATAAATAGGTATATTAGAACAACACATATAAGCGAACAATATTGTTCGCTTATATCGTCATCAGGCTTTACTCTAATATACATGAATATTTATGTGAAACCAATCAAGGCAATTCGAGTCAATAATCACAATGAAATGAAATAGATAACGTCACTACACATAATAAGCAAAAGTATAGGTTGATAGTAGGAATACAGTTGTACTGATAGTAGTAAAAAAAATAAAATACGATAACAGGAGTTTTATGAAAAGTAGGTCAAACGTGGATGAATGGACTTAAAATAATCATGACAAAACATTAAACCATTACGTAATAAGAAGTGTGTACATAGTTAGATAGTGAAGAATATAAACAGAAATAGGCAGAAAATAATGTGAAAACAATGCAGATTATAGCAAAACAAAATTAAAAAAATTTTAAACGTTAGTTAAATCATACCCGGTCACGGAGGAGATTGGGCTGTCACGAAATTCTTCTGAACACATAAATTGGGGTTGAATGTACGAAGTCCTATGGCTTCTGATATGCGTAGGATCGAACCCCGTTGGAAAATGATGGATGTATACGATAGATCACCCGAAAAGATCTAGACGTATCTACAGTATGACCACTATAAATCAGATGTACTAAGATAGAACTGCGTATTGTTTCTAACTGGCCCTTCATAAACCATGCTGGGAGACGTTCACTCATTCGTTGGTTAAGTTGTAGTGAGTCATTCAATGTCTAGCTCACATGACTTGTCTCACTTGTCTTTTTACCTTGTCAACCATTCGTCGCTTGTATTCATGTTTCTGCATGCCTACTCGCTTACATGTCTGTCTTATTTTTGTCTGACTATAAATTCCTAGTCATGCTTTATCTCTTAGAGTTGGCTCACTAGCCTTCTCCACTTCACTTCATCTGTTCATTCGCCTATTCACTCGCTTGCCTGCTTTCCGGCGCTCGCATAACGATTTTATCTTAAAGCGCTTGTAGTCCGCTGTTCTATTTGTGGTGTGTCGAAAATAAACGTATTCAACACTGTGTGTTCACCTTATAAACCGTCAGACGCTAGTTAGTAACGATTGTCTGGACGAGCTAATCACGAAGATTAAGAACATGTCAAAATCGGCCACCACAAAGTTACCTGGTAGTACGCCTGATATTAGTGACTCAAATTGCTTTGATGGATTTAACATTTTCATATAGATATTCATGTATATTAGAGTAAAGCCTGATGATGATGTAACCGAAAACAATATTGTCCGCTTATATATGTTGTTCTAATTATCACAATGGGAATCTTTAATATTGGAATAAGATTTTTTCGATTGCTTTACAAAAGGCAATTAGCTAAATGCTGATCAGCTTTTTAACCGTTTGAAAACGAAATCAAATACAGGTAAATAGTAAGGTGGTTAGTTAGACTTTAGTGTCTTGTTAAATTGGAAGAGGGGCTCACAACTTTAGTGGCCAGTGATCGGAATCCTCTTTGGACGAACAGTCGAGTATGCTTTCATTCCCTTCCCTTCCATTTCCATACATCATGCTTGGGCAAGCCATGTTTGTGTGACGGCGGTAATAAGAAGCCAAACACGGTTTTGCGGATGAATTTATTTTATGGATTCATTTAAGCAGACAGATATGGGAATGAAGATAGTGTAAGCACAGAAAATCGGAGTGGAGAAGGCAAGGGAGCCAACTCAATGTAATGGGATATGGCTAAGCATTTATAGTCAGGCCAAAATAAGCCAGACATCGATAAGCGTAGTTAGCAAGTAAACACATACTCGAATAAAACCGACCTAGATATGAGCGAATGAATGACAAGGTCAAAAGACAAGTGAATAGTAAATCGGGGTAAATAGATTGATTAAATTATCCAAAGACTGAGACAATCCCTGTGGGTTTGACGTAAAAGTACACACACTACAAGCTTATGGATAAGATAGACATGCATATGAATACACACAAATGCATAAACCAAAATGTTCAAGCGTCCAAAAGAATACTTTGCCGGAATGGAGATTTCGTACCTCAGATTTTGCAGATATATAAACATGATGCTTATATTTTCTCACATAATATTTCTAAACTCACTTTAAATGTAGAAAATTGTTTTGTAATCAGTAAAGACTTGTAATTTCCAAGATATGCTTAGGACTGGAAAACTACTGTGTTTGTTTTTATTCGTATATTTTTTTTTCTTGCTCCAGGTTTTGGTCCGATCTTAGCTTCAAAATTTTTTTTTCAGTGGCCCAGGAGATCTTTGTATCATTAAATTCGGTAACCATTATTACTAATTTCCATAATTCCATATTATACACAAACTTGTTCTTTTTAAGGTTACCATTAGTCATCTCTGTGGCCTTCACTTTATTTAAATTTTCACTTTTATTACGCTTTTCTAATTTTAAATAACTGTTTACTTATTTTACATATTTCCGTACCTGTTTTTAGTTTAGTATTTTTTGGTAAGTATATATCTATGTCGGAAATATCCCGTTTGTAATCCCATCTAGTTCATAATACTAGAATTCAATTTACTACTCAAAATCAACGTAGACTGAAGAACTCAAGGTTTATTTGTGACTTATCATTCATTTAGATGTAATGCTATATTAATATCTTAAACACTACTCATTCAGAGTCGACATATAAAGACCATACATTTCATTCGGTTTACAGTGAAACGGATAAAATAAATTATGTATAGTTTCACCTCTACAATGTGTCATTCGTACATGGTAATCCAAAGATTGAGTCGTTCCAAGTTCGGATATTTGATGTATGCCTGTCGAAGATATTCTGAACATTTAGATATCCCGTTTTTAATATCAGAATGTACCATGATATAACCGACAGAAGCAAAGATTAAAACAAGAAAGTGCCTGCAAACAGTAGTACATCAATGACTTCAATTATGTTTAATTTCGGATATTATAAAATAACAATGATCTATCTTTTGCTTATTATTTATTAACGCTTACTTATTTCTGAGGTAGAAATAACTTGAGTTCTAAATATGTGGGCTATAAAATTGCTCAAATCTTCATCTGAGTGATTACGAAATAAACTATTTTCCAATTGATTCCCCACACTATGACCTCACTTCATTGATGACGTTATCAAACCAAGAATGCGTTAAACAATCAAAACGGTTCTCTGATTACGTATTCATTCCCATTATTCTTTAACAAGTAATATTAAGAATAATGTTTGACCAAAAGGTATGATTAGCAGAAAAGTGAAATTATTTAGTACATCAAACCTTGATAATTTCACTAAAATGCAAAAATGACCCTGAAACATGATACCAATGATCTTATCGAAAAACCAAAGCGGAAAACTGATTATACATAAAAAAGTGTATTTAATGTAAAGTGTAATAACAAAAGGGGGGATAATTTACAAAACGTTCAATAAACAACGAGTTAACAAAAAATATCGTATTTTAGAATTGACAAATTATGTCGAAAAGTACCTGAATAACGGTCAACTCCAAGTCATCGTTCCGAAAGCTGCCCCGTCGGTCGGGTTAAAGTACCTGAAAGTTAACCGACTCTCACTTTTTCCTCCATTGGTGAGTATTTGAATTAGTCATCAGACCAATAAAATGCATACAACTAAGTGTAGATGACCATATCAGATACTTAACCAGATAGCCATACAGTCTTAATATGCAGTGTAATTGTCTTCTCTAAATACTAATTAATTCCATCGGTAAAATTATCTGAAAGTTGAAGTCGCACACGTTTGTTCAACAGTAATGACTGCTTTGAGTTCAGTGAGATAGCTGTAAACGAAAGTAACCTTGATGAATTGTTACTTTGACTACTTAGAGTGAAGCATGAGGGTAGAGAATATCTGATATGCGACGAGGATGTTTGCATATTCATTGAACTATAAATGGAGGTATTGTTTATTATATTTGAAGTTGAATTACGTCGACTGATAGCTAACACATAACTATCACCACTTTCACGATAACAGCTACAGTTACTATCATTATTATCATTAACGTTAGGACAGTGATTTTCAGTAAACATTACTGATTTCGTGTTTTTCATTTGTGGACTATGATTATGAGTATGACACTTATGTAAAGGGAATAAAGATTTGCTTGTTAAACTAGAAAATGAACACTGTTTATGTCTATCAAAATCTTCTAAAACTGAAACAGATGAAAAAGTAGGTTTTGTAGTTGTTTCTTTCGATTGATTGTTATATTTATGTCTACTTGGATTGATAGTAGTATTACTGCTGAGTAATGTATGTGCTTCAAATTTCTTTTTCGACTGATTGCCTTGCATAGCTAATGAATAAACTTCTTTACGATATATGGAATGTCTGGTTTTGTACAAACCTACATCAATATAATTAAAGGTTTGATCTGGCGCCTGGTGTAATATAAGTTGGAAAACATTATCTTGAATAGATTTGGGCAATAATAATATCGCAGTCATAATGAATAATATCAAGGCCATCAGTGATACCAAAGCAATGAGACCAGGTTGAAGTTCTATTTTTTCTGGACTAATAATTAACACCACAGAATTGTTAATATTCACTGAATTATTTAATGAGACATTTTGTACACCTGTTTTTTGAATATCACCAAGAGTAATCATTATTATGACATTGATTTAGTTGAATAAAGTTTGGCAGCTTTTTGATCGAATATTTTCTGAAAGTATAAAAAAGAGAAATATAGTACAGGTTAGACAGAAATTTAAGAAATAACAAATTTTGGTTAGGAAAGTCGTAAAAGTCTATGACATAGTGAATTGGACTCGTTATTCAAACGGTATATGCCAAACTAATAATAAAAACAATTTTTTTTTTACCCAGTTCACATGCAAAACAGCTGATAGAAATAAATATTTCATATTGTCACTATGTGAATAACTAGAAATATAAATATTTGTGAAAGATTTTTTTTGAAATTTATCAATTTTAAATTCTTATCTGCATTATAGATGGACGTATGAAAATGAAAATTCAAATAAATGAGAATAAATTAAAAAAATAATTCTTAACATAAATTAACATGGACTCGAAAACTATTGTAAATCAATTAAAATCAGCTAATTGGTTGTTTCATGTCTGAGTTTAAAACTTTACCATGCTACGAAACCATGACCTTGAAAAAAATATATTCAAATCAAGTCACTGTCAATTGTTTTCATGCTTTCAATGATTCTTTAGTTGATATCATTTTAGGATTTAAGTTGTTTTTTTTACAAATGTTTACAAAATGTTTATTATATAAATATCCTGAAAAATTAATAGAATATTTATTAATATTTGAATGAATAGTTTGACAAAATTTGAGTATCGAGTATGTAGAACAGATTGTTTGTAAACAATTGTATTTGAGATAATCTCAACAATTCAAATTTTTAGATTATTTCAATGTTTCGTCCAATTATCTTATGTGCACTTCTTCTGGGTAATAATAATCAAAATAAAAAATTATCAAACAATAAATCACTTTTAATAATCAAATCAAGTTTATACTGATTGTTTATTCAAATTACATTACATTACATTACATTACATGAGTTAATGGAGACGCAGGTCATGTGAACAGTTCACAATGTGGAAATTAATGAATTGGTCCGTGTGCAAGTTTACATTTTTGTTTATTTATCTGATCGGAATCTAAGCAGACACAAATTACCATTGCGTAAGAACGGTCTTAATTTCGAAATAAATCGATCACACTTATCACTTTCCAAATACTATACTATACTTTTCTAATGAAATGAAATAGCGATTAATACAAGGAATAAACTTGCAGCCACATTACTACATGAAAAATCATACAATTCTAATCTAAATACAGATGAATTATAAGCATTAAAAACGTTACGAGATGATAAAACAATTACTATTACAAAAGCAGATATAAGGAACACAACTGTCATCATGGACAAATAAGATTATGATGAAAAGATCTAGGAACATATTCATTTAGGATCTTACGAACTAATTAAATAAACGAAATGACGAACTATGTCTAACAAACTTAAGGCTGAAACAAGTTAAATTTTGCAGTCAATTAAAGTAAAACTAGGTCTGTCATTATGGTTCAGTTTATGTCAAAAAAGTTCTAATCCTTGTAGATTCCGTGGACTACCGAAAATTCACAAGAATAATGCACCACTATGATCATTAGTTGATTTTACAAATCACTGATTTATAAACTAGTGATATACAGAGGTACGATACTCAAACCATATGGCAGATTGGTCATTCATGGAATTTAAACACTATTGAACTTAAGAATAATATTAAAATGTAGATACTATTCAAATGGAAGATGATGAAATGATGGCTTTTTCCCCTTCATTTAAAAATGTACCTATCAATAAAGCATTGGACGATTCTTATGATTTTTCATTATCTGACACACATTTAGATTTATGATGCCCATTAGATCCTTCCGAGGTGTTTACGTGTTGTAACACGTGGATGATAGTTTTCTCATCAACAAACAAAATGGTTTAGAAGATATATTCTAACTAAAAAGTTAGAATCAACTGATCCCAAACTAGCGTTTCTCGATTGCTTGGTCGAATGAAAACATAATAATTCGAAAATTAACGTATTTCGGAAATCAACATATTAGGAGAGATACATAGATTACTGTTCTTCTCATGCCCAATCTACGTCGAACACAGGGATGAAAATCTAATTAACTGGAGTTATAATTTTGTTACAGAGAAAGAGGACCAACCGACTGAATTAAATTTAATATTATCGACAATGAAGGCCAACAATTTTGAATAAACATAAAAGAAGAGTTCATTTTCGTGCCGATTATACCATAAGATTGGTGTTCATGAAAGTTAATAATTCGATTCCAAAGTAAAAACAATCGAACATTGTCTAAGAGATCAGCTGTCAAGAGTGTAATTAAGTTTATGTGTGCGAAACATCATGACAGATGAAAGTAAGGTTGAAGAAACACAAAGTGTTCGAAACATGTTTCGAAAACCTCAGCTAACCTCAAGAAGTTAGAGAATATATCTGCAATGGCGTTATCTGCGTTAGTAACAGGATATAAGACTAACTTTGATAGGATCAAGATACTTCAGAATAGGTTTGTAGCACAAAAAGAATGAATGACAGTGGAAGTGTTAAATATATAGGCTGATCAGAACAGTCTAAACAGGAAAGACGATACTTGACTAGCTACTCCATAGGAAATGACCATTCACAAGTAATTGGACTTCAACTGAATCCACCTAGTTTAATCCACATGTAACGTTGATCGATAGACAGTTAATTTTTATAATTTATACATCCCAATCATGTCATTGATAATTCGCAGTTAATTCATGTTGTTCCACTTACTAAAATCAACATCTCAATGTAATTTGAATAAACAATCAGTATAAACTTGATTTGATTATTAAAAGTGATTTATTGTTTGATAATTTTTTATTTTGATTATTATTACCCAGAAGTAGTGCACATAAGATAGTTGGACGAAACATTGAAATAATCTAAAATTTGAATTGTTGAGATTATCTCAAATACAATTGTTTACAAACAATCTGTTCTACATACTCGACACTCAAATTTTGTTGTTTACAAGCTGGTAGGATAACCAAAGAAAAGAAAAATGTTAAACACAGTAATTAGTAATGAACAAACAGTAGATTAAAATTGCGTCAAATATACGGCAATAAAAAATTGCATCTATTGCTCAAAAGAATTATAACAAACCTATGCGGGATTTTTTTAAACAATAATAATAGTACAGTTGAAAAACAAAGGAATAACGGAACCGAAACGAATAAATTTTTAAAGGACAAAAATGTAGTCGATATTAACTTATGATAAGAGTACTGGCAAAGTAGTGAATATACATTTTTTTTTCACAGATGTTCAATGTTTTTGAGTATTGGATAAGGAAGAAATTTCAAATGTTATGAATGAATTATATTTTACCGCTTAAAAATAATAATATAAGTAAGTTAAACGGTTAAATTTAATAAGATAGAATGCGCAGAACAAAAAATACCGACTAGTAAGTTTCGTACATCAGTATTCAGTCGTACTTTTATATCAAAGATGTGATTCCAGTTGGTTAACTGTGCATTAGATGGATAACTCCGCCTGTAGACCCTTCGGGGCTACTGCCGGTCCCAAGCACGGATAAAGGAGGAGGGGGTTGGGCCTTGGGTTGGCGCCCCCAACCCAACTATAAACTAACCAAAACAACGCTAATCAAATGCTAACAAAAATTGGACAGAACTGGAAAGGGAAGCCCAGGACAGAGTTGGTTGGAGAAAACTGGTGGGTGGCCTAAGCTGCATTGGGGGTAAAAGGCGTAAGTAAGTAAGTAAGTAAGTAAGTAAGTAAGTAAGTAAGTAAGTAAGTAAGTAAGTAAGTAAGTAAGTAAGTAAGTAAGTAAGTAAGTAAGTAAGTAAGTAAGTAAGTAAGTAAGTAAGTAAGTAAGTAAGTAAGTAAGTAAGTAAGTAAGTAAGTAAGTAAGTAAGTAAGTAAGTAAGTAAGTAAGTAAGTAAGTAAGTAAGTAAGTAAGTAAGTAAGTAAGTAAGTAAGTAAGTAAGTAAGTAAGTAAGTAAGTAAGTAAGTAAGTAAGTAAGTAAGTAAGTAAGTAAGTAAGTAAGTAAGTAAGTAAGTAAGTAAGTAAGTAAGTAAGTAAGTAAGTAAGTAAGTAAGTAAGTAAGTAAGTAAGTAAGTAAGTAAGTAAGTAAGTAAGTAAGTAAGTAAGTAAGTAAGTAAGTAAGTAAGTAAGTAAGTAAGTAAGTAAGTAAGTAAGTAAGTAAGTAAGTAAGTAAGTAAGTAAGTAAGTAAGTAAGTAAGTAAGTAAGTAAGTAAGTAAGTAAGTAAGTAAGTAAGTAAGTAAGTAAGTAAGTAAGTAAGTAAGTAAGTAAGTAAGTAAGTAAGTAAGTAAGTAAGTAAGTAAGTAAGTAAGTAAGTAAGTAAGTAAGTAAGTAAGTAAGTAAGTAAGTAAGTAAGTAAGTAAGTAAGTAAGTAAGTAAGTAAGTAAGTAAGTAAGTAAGTAAGTAAGTAAGTAAGTAAGTAAGTAAGTAAGTAAGTAAGTAAGTAAGTAAGTAAGTAAGTAAGTAAGTAAGTAAGTAAGTAAGTAAGTAAGTAAGTAAGTAAGTAAGTAAGTAAGTAAGTAAGTAAGTAAGTAAGTAAGTAAGTAAGTAAGTAAGTAAGTAAGTAAGTAAGTAAGTAAGTAAGTAAGTAAGTAAGTAAGTAAGTAAGTAAGTAAGTAAGTAAGTAAGTAAGTAAGTAAGTAAGTAAGTAAGTAAGTAAGTAAGTAAGTAAGTAAGTAAGTAAGTAAGTAAGTAAGTAAGTAAGTAAGTAAGTAAGTAAATCGACACTATGTGAGGCACACGTATTGAGGAAGTTAAAATAAATTATGGTCAATAAAATAATTGTCTAATTGAAAAAGAAATGACTTGAAATGCTGATCACATATAATGAAGAAAATTTTTTTCTGATTAGATGGTTACATTTGATGAATGAAGCCAAAAAAAATAAATGAAATTTTATTTGGTTTAGCTTTTATTTTCGAAAAATTTATTTTTCAGTATCTACATACAAATAAAAAAAAAGAACTTAGCTTATTTGGTTGTGATAAGATGCGAAACTGTGTCGACTTGAATTCTCATTGATATCAAGTTAATTGGTGATTCGCAT